ATACCAAATGTATTTCATATGTGCATATTGTATTGCAGGAAGTGCAGCACTACGAACCTGTGACTGACATGATCCATACGGCACCTTCCCGGGGCTGCTGTTTGTAGATGCCTTCAGTTCCAGTAACAAGTTGTCTCATTCTTCCTGACTTAATATGGTATTTTACCATCTTCTAGTTTTTAAAAATATTCATGGCAATAAACTTGTACTGTTCATAACTGAGCAAGCAGCATAAATATGCCCTCCAAAATTCCCTAATCTTCTAGCAGAAGGTAATGCTGGAAAAGGTGTGGACAGTTTGATGGGACCATCATCTCTAATTAGACACAGGGAGGGTTGATAGAAGTGGAACTTTGCCCCTCACAACCACCTGAGGCTTGTCCTGACGGCATGCATCATAAAATGATCGGTACAGGTTGGTAGATTTGAGGTTTCTTTTTAAAAGTGTGAATAAAGAAACCCTGAAGCTGTTAGAGTACATAATGCACATGCCCCAATCTGGGGAGTTTGATACATGGTTTACTTAAATTTTTGTCGTCCTACGACTGAGACTCTGTGTGGGACTGTGCCCTCAGAGAACAACTCAGTTTTTGCTTGTGGTCAGAATATAAAAGATGTGAATTATCTGCATCGGGGGTCAGCTGGAAAAAAGGTGCACATCTGTGGCCTGTTAGCTGAATCTGTAACTGCCAGGGTACAGATTGTTCTGAAGCAGTCCAGAGTTTGTGTGGAGGAGGAAGGACCTTCCTCCTCCTCCATAGCCTGGTGTGCTGAGTTATGATAAAAACAGACACCAACCTTCTCATCTTCTTAGGCCTGTGGTGCTCTCTGCAGAGTGGTTTAAGTCTGGTTTGAGGCTTTTACTGCAGATAGATTTGCGTTCCTAGAGCTCTTTTGATCCCTTTGGACCCCCTTTTGTGTGGCTCTGGACTTGAGGTTGCAAATCATGAAGGTGACAAAAAATTCCCAACACACTAAACCGCCTCTTCTGCAGGGATGACGAATTCCTGTTATCCTTTACTGCTCACTAGTTGTTGCTCTGAGTTCCTTAACACAGCTGCTGTGCAGGTTAAACTTTCTTGTTGAAGGCCTTGCCTGTAACCCTTGCTTTTTGGTTTACTCCTTGGAGACAAACTGGCTTGAGAATTTTTCTGAGCATTCCTTTCCATTTACTTTGTTCACCATGTTTGCTTCTGGTATCACTGGAATAATAGTTTAGCTTAATTTAAAAAGCATAGCACACAGACATGCTTCTTTTAAATTACTGGCCCTTTTCAATAATGGGGGATTGTGAAAACCCGATCGTCTTCAGAATTGAGTTCAAAGGCTGTTTAATCTAGAGGAGCCAACTCTGTCTAGGGAAGCTGCCTGCTCTTAGCAAGCAAGGGAGGATGCAGTGCTTTGTTAGAGGGATGTTGTTGCTCTTAAGAGCTTTGTGTAGGAAACTGGTGTCTCAGAATAGACACAGTATTTTTAATTTTTTTTGGATCAGAGAATTATATCATTAAAACAGCTGGATTTATCTCTCGAGACAATTACTCTTGCCAGAACAAGAACCTGAATAATTCCTAACTTTGTGTGTTTTCTAAAAGGCCAAATGTAGAATCTTCATCTGGAGGCAGATCTAAATTCCTTTGCTGCTTCTGTTCTTTGTTTCAAAGTCACAAACTAAACCAAACTGTACCTCAGGACATGTTTAAAAGCTGTCTATGCACGACTTTGTGACATCAGAGGGTCTATTTAGCCAGCTACTGGAATAAATCACACACTTTGCCAGCTGCCAAACAGCCCTTCAGCAAGAAGGGACAGGGTGAAACCCTGCATCTTTTATTAGACAAAAAGTGCCTGTTTCCAGAGCCTGACACAAATTTTGTAGCAACATAAATGAATTGCAACTAGAAGGCCATGACACAATTGAGATAAAGATTGTGGCAGAGGAATTAGAATTAAATGCTAAAAACACTGTGAATGATAGAAAATGCTGATGGGAGCAGAAGATTGACAAGATAAGTGAGGGGTAGTGAAGAAATGTGCTAAATACAGACAAAAAAGCAGCACTTATGGAAGCATATGTGAACATATGTGAACTGAGGAAGAGGTTTCTCCTTGGCCTGTCAGCAATCTGCTGACTTGACCTTTGGAGCTCTCACACCACAGTGGAGAGAGTAGAAACAAGCTTGACATCTCCCATGGAATTTGCCCAGCAAGAGAAGTCTTTGAGGAAAATTGCTGATGTTTTCCATGTTCAAACTGGAGAGCGAAAGGGACTTGGCTGATCTGTCTGCTGCAACCTGGCTAGATCAGGAGAATGAGTGAGGAGGAGAAAACCCTGAGCAGGTTCACTGAAGGTGTAACATTGCTACCACCCACTCAGCAGCACCCTTTTGTATCTGAAGGTTGAGTAATGCTATATCCATTTCACTTGTGGGAGATGGCCTGCCTGAGATAACAGATCAGTCTGAGTGAATAAAACATATTTACTTCTTTTCTTGCTCCTCTGATGATGAAATTTCCTGAGGCAAAGATCAAAAAGCCTTGGAACAAAGAGCCAACTTCCTTAAATTTCTGTTGTGTGAGGCGATAATGGTACAGAGAACATGTTGGATGCAAGCATATTGCTTTGAATATCCGGCAGCTGTGGTGCACAAGGACCACTGGGTCTCGGGTTTATTTTCATAGCGTGGATCTCTGCTTTGTTCACAGTAGTAACTGCTGAACTTCCCCCTGCCAGCTACAGCAATGGCCTAAGTACTGTTTTTTCAGAAGAGCAGTATTTGATACAATTTTAGTGTCTTGATACAGTTTTAGCTCCTTGCTTCACTTTTAGTGATTAAAGTGAGGAATAGATCCAGCACCGTGTTAAATCCCAGTGTTCCATGGCTCAGTGGAGGTGTTCAATGGACCACATATGGGAATAGTTGTTGGCATCTTATTACTAGGCCGTGTCCTGAAACAGCATGGTGTTTGTGGGATAGTGCAGAACATGAGCTCTGAAGTGTAATATTACAAAAAAACATCCTTCCTTTTATGGTGGACTCAAAATCCAAGGGAAAGTCTTTTTTCAGAGGAACATCCAGCTGCAAAACATCAGTGGCTAAAGATGCTAACACCATTGGACTCTGTTCTGTGCTTGTCACTGTAGTGTAACTTTTCAGTCCATTAATTTCTGCCTTGACCTTATTCTGGCAAACTCCTTTTAGCCCACAGAAGCAGAATGTTTAATAACTTCTCTCTCAGAAAGCAGCCAAACAAGAACAAATGCTGCAGAACAAGTCTCTTACCCTCATTTCCCAAAACGTGCAGGTCTGGACCTGTGGAAAGAGTGCCTTGTTATATAACCTAGCTGCAGCAGAAGCTGCAAACCTCTCAAAAACGAGACCAAAAGTGAAGTAATCCACATTCCCTGCAGCTCAGTCTGGGGGGGGAGATCATACTTGCACAGCCAGACTATAAAGCAATAAATCCAGTTGCTTGACTCAATGGGGAAGTTGCTCAGAGAGGGTTCAAGCCAGCAGTGTGCTGAGATAAGCAGCTCCTTTCATCACTGAAGTGGATACAGGCTGTCAGCACCCCCCACCCCATTGTGCTTTTTAGGTATTCCATGGATTAATGTTTCTCAGTTCCAGGTCATGGACCTCAGTTCTATTAAAATAGCTTTTATATCTGTGCAACTTCAGTGGTGCTTGTATTTCTTTAACTTGAATTCCAAGGAATACTAGGTTTTTTTCTTCCTGTTAAAAGTGCAAGTTTCTTACAGCTGTGTTCTAGTTAAAGACAAAACTCCAGCTCAGCTGAGGCTTTGCTTGGACTGTAATTGTGGGGGACACATGGACACTTTCTTGTGTCCTATAGTTGTCTTGTGCAACAAACACAGGAAAGGGATTTCATAATGCTGGGAATGTAAGGATGCCTCCTGAAAGTTTTGTCCTAACTGGAGTAGTGAACTCTCATTGTTTAAGTAGGGGTTAGAAGTGCTGGCCATGCTGCCAGAAAGAGGGCTGATCATTACAACGTGCTGCTCATTTCTGAGATTTTGCCAGTAACAAATTTATCAAATCCAGATGCCTTGTGCTGGAGACCCAGCTTTCTCCATATGGGAACCTTGCACTGGCCTTAAAGCTAATCCTATAGAAATCAAGGGGATTTGGGACACTCCACTAAATATGTTTTGCTACAGGCTGTTGCTTGTGCAGGCTGTCTGTGGCTTGTACCTTAATTAGCATGTTTGGGTTTCTTTTTAACTCCCTCTCACCCACACAGGCACTTAGGGGAAAAGGCTAAACAGAGACTGGAGGAGGGGAAGGCTCTTTTTCCCAAGGTGCAGGTATATGTTGTCCTGCCTTATGTCCTGCACATGGTGCATGATGGGCCTAAGCCACAAGAAGCCTAGAGATGGGCCCTACATTTACACCACTAGAAAATGTAAATCCCCTTTGGGGAGTGGTGGGAAGGAGAGACCTTTCTTTAACTGAAAAGCTGTTCAGCATAAGCCATATTCTAATTCTGCATCTAAACAAGAAGCTAAACTAATCACTGAGCAGAACTAATCTCCCAAGTCAGCCATTTCATGGGGCTTGCCCTGCACTCAAAGCAAGGCAGTGTAGCTGAGGGGAGGCTTCTGTTGTGCTGCAAACACGACCACATCACACATCCGGCTCCCCATTCCCTGGACACTCGAGGGCTGGGAATCACCTCAGCCTTTGCCATAACTCACTTGGGTTACAGCAGGGACACGTCCAAACTCCACAGACTGTTTACACATGGCAAAGCACGTGAGAGTCAGTCCGAGATGGAACCTGCCGCCTTTACCTGCCTGCTCGTGAGCACGGTTCCTGAGGAGCTGAGCTCAGTGGAGCCCAGAGAACAGCTGGACTCACCTGCAGCTCAAGGAGACGCCTGCTGGGCAGGAACAGCTGAGCTCACTTGGAAAACCAAAAACGTTGGCACAGAAGCACAGGATAAGCCGAGACACTTCATAGGAATACAGGTTGTTTAGAATGTTTTAAATTTTTTAAAAAACTTTATTCCAAACAGCTGATTAACCTGTCAAGGGTTTAAATCAGATTATTCAATGCTGTCACAAGTTTCTAACTAGGAAATACACCCATCAGAGCCTACCTGTGGGAAGTAACTGCGTTGTGTGCTCCTGAGAGGGTATCCAGGGTGCGCAGTGGAAAACCCCCCACTGCATCAATGCACTAGGATATAGGTTCATAGAGACCAGTCACAAACCGAAGATACAGGGTTATACAACGTATTTGGCCAATTCTAAACAAACAAAATATTTAAGACTTCCAGGATTTTTATGCTGGTTTTAATTTTTTTTAATTAATTTTTGTTTATTTCAATATATTTAAGTAGGGAGTTTACGGAGACAGATAAAATTCATTCCAACACTCAATTTGTACAAATAGTTGAATTATGCTTGGACAAATTAATTCTGCTTCAGGAGAGTATTAAATATTTTGTAACAGTTCTATGTTTTATGGCAACCTGCATTTACCTATTTGTGTCCGATCAAGAGGGAATTCCGCATTTGACAGTCTGCAAGTGGAGACCACACAAACTAAATATTAATTCGGATCCTTTTGTAGATATATGTGCTGCTCTGTGGACTGAGTAGCCCAAAAAGTGCACAAAACCTCTCTCAGTGGTAAGGAAAGGAACCTTTCAATTAGCCATCTGCACACAGACATACCTCTCATTAAACTTACACGTGTGAATCATGATTCAGCCACTCAAAAAAGTTTCCGCAAAGCCCAATGCCATACCCTCCTTGAAGAACAGAGCAAATATTTGAGGAACTGAGATTGTTACATTTCTGTGTTAACAGCACAGCTTGTCTAGTTTCAATCAACATTTTCTTTAAATAAGGCCCTGATCATCTCAGCTGTGATGTGCCCATCTGATTTACCAACACTGCCATCCTCTCTGTCGCTCCTGCTTGGCATTTCTTCTTGTTCCTTATGATGAGTAGGCACGGCTCTTCCAACTACATACAGCTTTCTCTTCAGAGGACCCAGTTTTAAGTATGCCTTAAGAAAAAAGAATATTATTCTTTATTAGATAGAAAAGGAGCCCTTTAAAAAAAATGAGACCCAGCAACTTTCCTTTTTAAAGCAACTGTAGAGATGCTGCCCTAGGGCTGCTGTTTGGTAATGTCAGTGATAATGGGCTTCTTTTACAAGCCAGCTCATCTTAGGAGGCTGCAGCCCTGCTGCCCTCTTCTTCTCCTGTGTGTTTTCACTGATAACACCACCTCTGTAAACCAAATTCTGCTCTCAAGGTCAGTTCTGTGAGAAGAATTAAACTAATCCAAGAGCTCATTCCTGCCAAAAAGAGGTCCAAGTCCAGCCATGTGCTTCTGCCACGTTTGCACTGGCTCTGGTCTTCTCCAAACCTCTGAGTCAATTTGGTTGACTAACTCAACAGAAAACTAATTTGGGGGGAGACGGGGAAAGGGAAAGTTTTTCTGCTGGGTCAGAGAGTGAATCAGCTACAGAAAAGGCCGATGTGCAGTATGAGTTCCCTGAGGGCAGGAGCTGTACCATACTGCCAAACCAGAGAGAAGAAAGAAGAAACCCTCCAGTGCAAGCTCTTGAAGCACCTCTGTTTAATCAGTACTTTCATAACGGTTGCCAGTGTAACACTGCTGTTTGCAGTTGCACCTTCATTGTTAAGAGGTAGCAGCACCTATGTCAGCAGCACCAATGGCCCCCAGTGGGGTGGGCTCTGTAGTGCTACCAGCAGGAAGAAAGGAGAGCATCCTCCCCAGGCAATGGCTGCAAAGAAACAAACACCTAGACAGATGTCTTTTGTTAAAGCTGTTCTTTGTAATGCCTCTTCAGGACAGAGCCACCCCTTAAGTTTGTCTCTGATCAAGGCAACAGGATGATTTCTCTGAACACAAGTTGCAGGGTATAAATAAAACTAAAGTGAAATTTCTAGAAAAAGAGTTTTTGAGGGTTTTTTGTTTGTTTTGCTTTTGTGGGTTGTGAGTAAGTTAATAAAATATTCAGGACTAAAGAAACATTATGGGAAAGTATCTTTACACAGTCCTGCAGTTTGCACCATGTCTATAAAATCTTCTTTAATTTGGAGTAGAAATCAATGATGTAGAGTAATGTATTTTCTAAGAGTAATTAGTTTATTTAGAAATGTATTCAAGTTTTTCTAACTCAAGAGTGTCAAAGGCACCCAGGAAGCATTTTTTGCAACCTTGGTTTGAGAGTCTTCAGAAGTAGGTACCCCCTCTCTGAGAACCACACAAATTCTGGCTATTTACATATAACCTGTACCTTTTTATTTTCTCAACCCCTGTAGTTTGCACCCAGGAACACCTTCATCGCAGCTTTCTGCTGAAGGAATGTCGATCCTTTAATGCTATTATGACACACAGATTCTAAAGGACCAGTATCCAAGCAAGAGCCTGGCAATACCATAGAAAATTGTCACTAGTTGGCATTCAGAAATTCTTTCTAGGGGGAATTTCTTCCTGACACTCTATGTGTTGATTCCTAGGACACTATTCAATTGCCAAAACAATATCTCCTGATACCAGAAATGCCTTAAGGCATCCAAAACATCCAAGAGAGGCTGGCCTGTATGACAGAGAACCTTGGTCTTTTGGCCCAGCATCTGAAGGATGTGGAGTGACCTTACTGTCCCAAATAGAACCAGAGGCTTATGATTAAGCGTCTGAATTGCACACTAGGTAAAAGACACTGGATGCCATAACACCACTGGGAATAGAATGGTCCTGACAGTAGTTCATGCTCCATTCTGAAAAATGTTTGTGTCAGTGAAAGACCTGATGACTTTAACTCATACCTGGAAATCATCTTCATCTTCGTACAGCAAGCGATCCACAGCTGTAGTGAAGAATTTTTTTCGCAGCTCTTCACTGTCTTGAGTCTCATCCTCTGTTTTAGACTGAACCTTTGGAAAGGCTTTTTTTCTCTGACAGGGAACTGTGGCACTTCTGAGGCTCTCTTCTCCATCTGCCTTTGCTTTTTAAAGAGAAGAAGAATGATGTTGTATGTAATTGTTAAGCCTTATGGAAGTCAGAATCGGTACTTGGTATGAGGATTGCCTGCAGTCTTTAATATGGCTTGGCCCATGTGATGCGAAGAACAGCTTGGTAGGATTTTTAATTGGCAATTCAAGCTAAATGTTAGTTTTCCTCACTGTTTTTTTTTTTAATGTGTTTTTTGTTCACAATTTCTGATCAAGACCAGGAACTGAAATTGATTGGAAGTGAGAACTAATGGGTCTGTGGGATGGGGCAGGAGAAACAACCAATTCAACTTAAGTCCTGCAGAGCCCTGAATAGTTAAAAAGAATAAGAAAGGCAGCAAAAACAAGTATAAACTTTTTCTATATCCATATATCTATAGGTATATAGATACAAGTTCCTGAAACACAGCTAGTCTACTTATAACTCCCCTGAAGAGCTCACATTTGCAGTTGACTCATTCTCAGGATGACAGACAATGCTGAACATGGACTGCCAAGTTACAGGTTTGCCTGGGATCTGATCCCAGCTTATTGGACCAAAACCTAGTACTCCCAGTAACTCTTGCAAAGGTCTAGCAAAGGTATTCAAAGTAAATATATATCTAATTCAGAAGTTTTAGTTAACATGTTTGCTGGTGCCTGATGGTTTCAAAAGGCCCACCTATGGCTCGGACTGATCAGAACTTCAACAGAATTCTTCATGTATCCATAGCTGTATGACTTCAATTTTTTTAACTTATCTCTTTAATTTTGTACTTTTTCCATCCTCTTTCTTGTACTAACACAAAGATGTAAAATAAAATGTGATACTAAGGAATCCACAGAAACCATCCTAAACAAATAAGCACATTCACTTGCTCCTTCTTGCCTAATGGTATATCCTTTTCCTGGGCACACCTACCAGAATAGATGGAGATTCAGCCCAAAATTCAGTACTGCTTAATAAGATTTTCACTTTGGGCTGAGCTTCATCTGCTCTTGCTAGGGAGTTACTTATAATTTACCTCCAGTGTATGAGCTGAATGACTGTAAAGTGCACATACACTTGAAGTGAAAGCCAGCATAGAGTTTAAAGAATATTGTCTAAGGGACAAGACAAAATGAAGTTATGGTGATACGGATCAGTAAAGAACTGAGTAGGATATGAACCATATCTTCATAAAAGATGGCCAGTCCTGTTAACTGCATTCCGGGCTAGCTCTAGAGGAGTAATTACATTCCACAATCTAGACACCAATTTCAATTTAAAAACTGTATAACAGGTAGATTGTGATTTTGTCTTAATGCAAACTACAGCCTGTCATTGCTGTGGTGGCTGCCATCAAGTGGGAAATAAAGTGTTCACCACGTCAAACAGGCAGTTTGATAAAAACCTTAAGAAATAAAAAGTCTGTAAATGTTCAGTAACTTATCAGTTCTTATAAGCTGCTGGCATGCACATTACCTGCATATTCTCTATATTCCACTTCCATTTCATCCTTAGGAAATCCTTCTTGCAAGCCAGCTGCCTCAGTAAGAAACAAATGCCTATGGAATAAAAAAGATAAAGTGAAACTTATATTAGTGATCTGAAATTTCTCTCTAAACTGTGCAATGTTTTGGGGTGAGAGGGAGGACACCCTTTCTGAAAGCCATTTGTTGCTTAACCACAAATGCAGAACAGCACAATGGTTTAAAAATGCAATGGAGGCAGCCAGGTAGCTTAGTGGCTAATAAGCTGCTCTTTCTTATTTTTAGTGTCTAAGTTCAACTATGTCCATGAGACTAAAAGAAAACAAATGTTATAGTCTCCAGTCAGTCCAAGATTCAAACCACAGCTGGCAGCTCTCACTTAGAAGCAATCCAAAGTTTGGAAAGGAGAAACAAATGGTCACTTCTTAAGGCTTGGAACTTTTTATGCAATATGGCTAAAATCACTGAGCTGGGGCTGGAAAGTGAAGATGGATCATTCCCATTGTTGCATTATGCTTTTGATACCGTTAGTGTTGATATTTTGTAGCTAAATTAATCTTTCTCTGGGGAACAAGTTAAATAATTTCAGTACGAAAGAATCTAATCCTACAGATACCTCTACAGACAGACATATCCCAAGGTCTCTTCCTTACTCAGTGCCAGGTAATCTGTTTCACTTGAGGTTGCAAAGCCTGCTATATTTGCATATTAATCTTCACATTTTTCCAACAGTAAAGGAAAAATCTATTATTCAGAACTTGGTCTGAAAAGCTGGGGCTGAGACCATCTAATTACAACATAAAGAAACTATTTCCAAGCCCCAGTGGTATCCCCACTAAGAGGAAGTTAGTAGCACTAGGTCTTCATAGACTATTAAAGAACCAAGTTTCTTCCCTGAATTTTGGTATTTAGGAGGTCACAATGTTACTGTCGTCCTTCAAGGATACAAGTCCCACACAGAGTGAAATCCTCTTTCCCCTCAACTCGGAAACTACCTCGGCTTTGATGTAGGAGAGCCCAAACAGCTTTAGAGGCAGATAGTATCATTAGCTTTAAAAAAAAAATTAATCACTTTTGAGTCTGTAAAGGCATCATTTTACCTGGATCCTATCTGGTTCTGAAGTTTGGTATCAATCAGTTTTGCCACTAAACTGGTGTTTTCTTCTTCCAGGAGCTGAACAGAGGCTTTCAAATCACTTACTTCCTTTCGGTAGATCTTAACCTTTTGACAATTAGAAAAAAAATAAAGAGAAAATCTTGGAATTTTGGAAAGCTTTCATAGCAACTACCTTGACAGCACATACCTAGAAAGATTGCAGCTGTATCAGCAAGACTGCACATTTGGTGGGGAAACACAGTGACACATTTTCAGATAAAGGGAAGATCTCTCTGGTTCTTTCACACTTTTATTAGAACCCTTTTACTATCACAGCTCTGTCAATCACAGCCATATATTTGGGCTATGCAATCCTGACAGCACAACCTTCTCATGTAATCAAGCAGGTCTGCTAGACAGCAGCTCTGAATTTTTTGTTTTTGCTTTCACATCAGAGCTTTGAGAGAGAAAAACCTTCTTTGCAGAGTTAAATTCAAGGTCTTGCTCAGCAAGCATTGTTTTTCTAACTCCTGCTTATACACAAAACCTTCTTACCTAGAATTAGCAATGACTCAAGTTACCACAATATGGGCTAAGCCACAGGTACTACTTTCTTTCACTGGTAATCACCCCATATCGCCATGAAGTTAGACTAACCAAAGGGTGCCAGTTATTCAGTTTCCACAATTCCTCCCACTTTTCCTGAAGTACAAGCAAGTTTTTACCTACTTCACTGGAGAGGGGAATGTATGGGAGAGACACCTTCCCAGAAAACTTAGCCATAGGCCCATGTTTAAGAGCAGAACCTGAGAGCACCTGTTCTCATCAGAGTCAAATTAACCCAGCTATAATCGTCCAAATTTGCAGTTAAAACTAGTTCAAATTTATCCCAGGGATTAAAAAGGTGAAAATGACAGGACATTAACCAGTAACAGGATGTGGCTTGGCACAATGAGGTGATGCGGTTTTGCACCATCTTGGTGTGACACAGTAACCATGGAAAAATGTGGGTGAAGTCTCCAAATCTGTTCAAATTTGGAGATAACTAGTTTAGGGTTGTTTTGGTAAATCATTTTTCAGTTCAGTGGCCAAACTGGGAAAAAAAAATTGAAGTAAGACTAAACTGAAATTTTTGGTTTATCTCCCCAAAAGAAACTACTGGAAGAGTCTGTCAGCTACATATAAACATTAGCCTGAGAGAAAATATTTCATCCGTGTAAGAAAAGCAGAGAAAATGAATGGGTGAATTCAGAGAACTGGAAAAGTTAGTGATAATTGTTTTGTTTTCCCCAAAATTCAAAGCACTAATTCATAACATAGGAAAGTAATTCATAACATAGGAAACTTCTAGTTGAGAGGAAAGAAACCCAAACCCCTCAGCTCCGAGGTGAGGGCCTGTCAGAACATAAGAGTACTCCAAAGTGGATCTGTCTTGTTGACACTGTCTAATGTGTGTAAAAGTCATAAGTGTTCAGTGAGACGGGGAGATGGGAAGATAATTCATACTCATTCAGTGATAGGATGTATAGATTTGAGCTCCTATTTGTTTATGCAGAATAAAACACTAATTCTTTCCTATTGACCCCTACCCTCATTGCTTCATAAGCTGTGGTTTGGACACCTGCCCTGGAAAGTTAAAGATGCATGCTCAGTGCTCATTAAGGGAAAGAAGGAAAGCTGTATCCCTGCATACTGGCATGTATCTTAAACTAGTAAGTAAAATGCAGAAACCTCTGCCAGGTTTGTTGATGTGGCATGGAAAAATAAGAAGTTCATTTATTAACTTCCCAAAAAGTTTTGCTCAGTTCTAAACTGTGAGACTGTAAAGGTGGGGAAGGGCATTTCACCCACCAATCTCATGCTTAGATTTGATCGCAACAAAGAACCTGTATTGACTGGAGCAAACACAATCAAACTCTCACTGTGGAAAAATTAGTTTTCTAAATCTGGCTCACAAAAAAGTCTTTTCTTGAGAAGAAAAGTTACAGGTATCTAATATATAGCTGTAAATTGCCATTAAAGGACAGTATAAAAGCTATCAAATAATCAATTACAACTATATATGATTTTGATTTTCCTCTTTTCAGTATATAGCCCCCATAGTTTCTTTATTACCTTCCATTTAAAGTTGTCTCAAGCCATTTCTCAAAACACATTTCCAACATCCATATCCATTTTCTTCCAATACAGCAACACTAAAACTTGAATGCAATTCAAAACTTCACTTTTCAGATACTTACGTGGTTGAGCCTTTACACTAAATAGCATCCCAGTCTTCACAGATGTAAATACTTATTTATATGGAACATGATAGTCCTTCACCTAACTGCTTAGGGGGTCTTTCATTTGTGAAAGCAGGTGTTCACCTTTTACTTTTGTTCATCACATTACACTGTTTGCTGCTCAGGATTACAGATTAATTACTGGAAAACTGCTCTCTTTTTCCTATGGAATTCTTCAGAGGCCCATCACTGGAAACAGTTATGGCTGTAGGCCATGGCATTTAAAACATGAACTACCATGATAAACTATAGGCAAATGATCCTCTTACCTCTTCTTTTAGCCATTCATTCTCTTGAATTTCTCTGCGACAGTTTTTGTCTAAGTATCCCACAGCACTCTGAGAAAACACAATTTAAGATCATCTCATCTGAGAGTGGAACTTTGACAGTCCTGCAGACTATAAAGAAGAACCTTCTGCTCTTTAGCAGGAAATAATTAAGAAACATCCACACAACAGACTGTAGCATCCCCTGAGGGATTACAAGGGGATTTAGTTCACAAGGCCAGATGTTTCTTCTCCATCATCCTGCCTAGAGCAGATTATATGTCAAGCAGTTTACCAATATTTTATAATTTCCCATATTAAAATAGGAGATTTCTCCTTTTTTTGCCCAACAAGTTCTTCCATGTTCCCATTATAGTTCAGATCTTCCTGTTTTCAGAAAATCAAACCTTTAGCTCCTAAAAACCCCAAGCAAAATCCCAAATGCAGCAGTACTGATCTATGACAAGTGACCTAAACATGTAGAGGTCTGTGCTACTGAGCCCAAGCTACAATTTAATTATTGATGTCAGTAAGTGGAAAGGAACAACTGGGAGGGAAGATGCTCCTGTAGATCACACAGTCCTTTGGATTATGTTCTCACATGACTGGAAATTCCAGCACTGAAGTCAGGGAATTTAAACACATAATGGGCCTAGTGATTCACACTGAAGTATGCTTTGCATTTTGTGAAAGTGAGATGTTGTCACCAGAGCTATTTGTAAATCATGGTTTCAAATCGGAGCTGGCAGAGATGACCAAAAAAATTAATGTATCAGTAAACCTAAATTTTCCTGAGACTGCACTATTTTGGCATTTTAAAAATGTAGTACTTTACAAATACAACACCTTTTTTTCAAATTGACGTATATTTTCATGCAGCCAATCCCTTTGCATGTTACTGTTTTTTGAAGTCTATGCAAATGTCAAAATCATTCACAGCAAAAGCAACACATTCTTGAACAAGTCATGTCAGTGCATAGTGCCCCAGTTCCTCATATCTCATTTGTAAAATGCCCTCACATCTACTCATTATTAGTCTGATGTAAAAAAAAAGGTACATGTATGTATAACAATGACCAATTCCACATGTAGTAAGATTTACAGTTTACGTTACTCTCAATTTATTAGAAAAGTTTCAAGTCTTAATGTGAGTTAAAATAGTTATTAAGGTAGAGTACATGTATCCTAACTATGATGCAGTTAGCAGTTTTAAAAAAGGCAGAAGGAATACCTTAAGAGCCTGTTCACTAAGTAACTTCAAGTGCCTGTCAAACAGACTCTTATGTTCTTCTTTCACTGCATTCAAAGCATCTCTATAATATTCTTCAAAACAATAAAAAAGGAAATCAGAAATCATTATTTGACATCAATTTCTCCTAGCAACAAATAGATAATTGGCATGTTGTTACTGAACTGGAACTTATCAGCAAGCATCATATGAATAGATGCTCCACAGAAAAGGATTCAAACATCCTTCCCCATAGAAATTATCCTCCTAGACCCAAAGGACAGTAGTGTTAACTACAAAACTAGAAATCAGAAGTGGTTTGCACATTTCTGCTGACAACTGCAACAGCTGAGCAATTCACTGCTAACTGAGCAGTGAGCTGAGCAATCCTCTGCTAAAATACTGGCATCTTAACATTAAATTTTGCCTTTATAAATAGCAGTTCCTAGCGTGGTGTGAAACATTTGCTTAGAAAACTTATTTTTTAGGTATAGAAATGTGTTGGATCATCTTATCCACATAGCATTTTTCCAGACATTTATTATAAAGAGCCTAATAAATTTTCTTACTTATCTAAGGCTCTAAGGTTCTAATTTGACAACAGGAGAAAACGGACAATGTGGCAAATGCCTCAATGATTTGCTTTTATTTTATCATTACATGCAGTCATTATTTAGAAAGTGTGTCTTACATCAAAGTCAATTTGTTTGGCTTCACATTCTAGTCACTTGCTTTTTAATTATTTCATCCTTCCCTTTATCCCTATAGTTCTTTTTTTGTTCTTCTAAACAGCCCACTTCTGCTTGATATTTCCCCCTTTTGAAGGAAAGAATGAGAGTGTAGTCATTTTCTTTGAAGGAGGGCACTTCCTACTTGTTGCAGAGGCTTGAAGTTCAGCCTTGCTCTGTACTTGTGTTGCAGACAGCCTGTTGCTGATCTGGCTGTAAATGAACATCTGGTCATGGACCCACTGCGGAGTCAAAGGCAGTCAAATATCAAAGGTGTATTAGTTCATTAGTTGTGCATTAGTTCTTAATTTAACACCGTGGAAGCTGGAATCCACCACCTAGACTTGGCAAAATGAAACAGAAGTACTTCCATACTATAATTAATTCACTATTTCATTCTTTCAGACAGCTAGCCTGAGTTGTACTGGGAGAATGAAGAAAAGGCAAAACAGTATGTCTGAACAGTTCCTAAGGAGGCTATTTTCCTCAGCTCTCTCACTGCAACACTGTTTCCCCCACACCTCAGCTATGCCTGTGGCTGTCTTTTGCTTCCTCTCCTCTTCAGCTGTTTTGTTTATAATGTCACCGCCAGACAACATGAATTGTGCCAGTGTCAAGCCCCTCAGTGGTACATACAGAGAGAGAAATCTGTTCAACTAAGCTTATTGCCCGAGCCTGTCACACATTTGAGGTGTGAAAAAGCCCAATTTGTTGCTGCATTGCTCTGAAAGCTTGTTGCATTTCTGCTGGAAGGTTGTACTCCCCAGGCACTCTCCAGGTTCAGTTTTAGGAAGTTAAGTAAAATACTGTGCCAGCATCCAGTACTGGCAGCATCATTTTGCAATATGTTAAGTAGGCAACTGCAGTATGTAGCTCTGTATCAGTCTCTCAATAAATACACTTCTGTTTGACCACGCATTTTTGACTCTGTACCCTGTGACATGCAGGAGGCCAGAGTAAATGTTCCTGGCTCATTCTGGCATTCTATATGAAAGCCCATTCTCTTTTTCTTATTTCAGCATCTATATAGCAAAGTTTTAAACTGATTAAGAACACAGAAAATGCATAAGGAAAAAACTCAGCCTCTCCTGAATAGAGAGATGGATATCTGACAAGCTATCTCACGATGTAGAAATCACGGGGCAGATCTTAGTCACGGCAAAATATGTTTCAAGAGACAAAAAGATAGCTAGCTGGCTCTTATCCACAGTAGTTGATGCCTGGTAATGGTTGGCACAGAATATACAGAGACCCTTAGAGCAGTGTCACTGCCTGTTACTACCAGCTGCTAGGCTGTGGTCATGCATACTGAGAGGGACATAAAGGAAGAAAACCAGGACATCCTTATCCCACTGAAAGCATGGGTTATGTAAAAGTAAAATATTTACATGATTTAAAAATAATGCAGTAGTAAAGAAATCTTTGTAAAAATCACTCAGCACCAGAATATATAAGCTTTCAAATTCATTCCACTGTTGTGATGCTACTGAAACAGTTCCCAGTATCTGTATATGTCTGCACTGGCTATTTTGCAGGGCTTCACACAGGAGACTAAGCAACTAGGAGGCAAAGTTCAGACCAGTGGCTAAAGAGCTCCCTCTAGTTCTGCTTGTAAACCAGTGTGCTCCATAGAAAAGACTGTTCCAAGAATGAGCTCATGCTACTTTCCTGTGAAAGAAGCTTTCAATATGTGAAGTGTTTGTAACATGATGAGAAGCAACAGCAGTAGAGTCAACATTTTCAAGTATGACTGCTAAGGGAGCTCTGTGTGTAGGTGACCTAAATATTTGTAGACTTATTTTTAGGAAACTGCTGTCCTTCACAGTAACATTTTTAAAAAATGGGTTGCCTGTATTTTACAAGAAAATCATCAGAAGTCAAGCTTATCAGTTTCTTTAAGTGTCATCATTTCTGTAAACTTTATCAATTTCTTTAATAAAGGAACTTTTATAGAGAGAAAGAGAGAGAGAAGGGGTGTCCTTACATTTTCCAGGATTACACAGCCCACCTTATGTGCACTGTTTTAAGAAAGTTGATACAAGTTACTAGAACATGACCTCAAATTAAATTTATAATTTAATTCCTGCAAGCAATCTGCAAAAAGCCTCTAAGACTTGCATTACACTAGCTGTAAACTGACCTGTAGTTTTTTGAAGATCATCTTTAACTTTCTTAATGTCTTTCTCCAGACTGCTAATCTTGTCAGCGTGTATTTTACTTCCTACATTTTTGTACTCCAACCAATAATCTCTCTCACGCTGCTTTACTGAAATTCTTTGCTGAATTTCTTCAATTTGGGAGCGCAGTTCTATTAAAATAAGAATGTCAAAAGACAAGTTCATTACTGATTTCTTGAACTGATAATTCTTCTAGTTTAATCAAATTCTTTAAGAAAGGCACTTTCACAGGGGTTGGAGAAGGAAAGGGGATTCTTCCACACTACAATACATTACAACGTGATGGGCTCACACAGTGTGAAGGGCCATCATCATTGCTGAAAACAGCATGAGCTTATTCTTCCAAGGAGAGACAACAGTTCTCACTGAAATATTGTAACCAAAGACACACGTGTCTCCCACAGAGAATCACACGGATGACAGCCAGAATTTTGAACAGATTTACTTATAAGCCCTCCACAATCTCATATCAAATTGAGATAGTCCAATTTTGGGGGAGGAAAACTTATGCTTTTTATGCAACAAGGAAGTTGAAACTCTAAATGCAAAACAAGAACAACAAAGATCCCTACTGTGTAAATTGCAAACCACACTTCCCCAACTTACAACATACCTTTAAAAAGTTGTTCTTTGTCCTTCACATACTGAAAAATTGCTTTCAGTGACTCTTCCACATCATCCCTAGTTACAACCTCCTTTTCATCTCGTTCTTTCTCCTTTTCTTCTATTTGTTTTATTAGGCGCCTGATAAGTGCTTGCTGTTCTTCCTTCAGAACATCATTCTAAGAAAGAAAAACAGAAGACACAGCACATTTTCAAAGTAGACACATAAAACAGTTTCAAAGTGGTTTTCAAAGTAACTTAAGTAACAAAAGTAAAATCTGGCCTAATGCCAGATGAAATGCAAGAACATCCAACTAAACACCTGTTCTTCATATTCAAAAGGATAGAGCAGAAGGGAGAGTTTTCAGGTCTCAGAAGTTTCCTCAGTAACTTCAAGACCATTGGAAGGAAATGAGAGACAAATGATTGCTGTATTCCATGCAGTACATCAGTGGTTCTCCATTGCCTGGAAAGAAAGTTGCTTGTGAGTAATTTCATGAGAATGTACCGCCTTCATGCAGAAAACTCATGAGACAATCAGGTCGCTTGCATATAACCACAGCAAAAAGTCTTGTCAAAGCTGAAACTGGTTATACCTCCTGATTCCACAGCTGTGATCATAACCCTTTGCCATGACCCTCTCAGGTGATACAGAGATTATGGATCGTGTATATTTGCTCCCAAAGGATACCACGGGAGCAAATAGTAACAGTAACTATGCAGTAGAGAGAGTCTCAAGCATTCCTCACTTCTAGAAGGATTAACTCTAAACCACTCAGAAACATTAAGCAGGAAACAAAGGATGGAGCTCAAAGTGCTGTAAAAACATAGGTAAATTAAACAAATAGCACTTCAACCATGCCCTTAAGTACCCTGCACAGTCTAAAATCTGAAGGAGTCCTCCAGAGACCGTGAACTAGCAGTAAATTGGGGAAGTAACCATAAGAGACTTCAGATGCCTGCAGAAAGAAGAGCAAATGCCACTTCCAGTGATAGTTAAGACACAAATGAAACACCATCCAGGCTTCAAGACTGAAAGAAGCACCACGGAATGCTAAACATATGGATACTTATAAAAGCAGGGCAACCATTGGGCATGGGAAGGACAGAGAGACATTGTTTCAATGTTTCACTGCTATACCAACTGCAGGCTGCAACATGATCCAGGGTAAGGATTTTTGAGTAATTTGACTTCATTTCAATAGGTGACCCTCTATATATCTGCTTTCAAAGTTCACTGCTCACAGTCATCAGATGTCATATTATGGGTGTTCACATACAGCTCATACACACAGTTCTTTAAAGTGTGCAACCAGTAGTTATACGACCTTGTTCTAAAAAAATAACCAAAATAACTCTTAATCCACAAGAAAGTGAATCTTCATCAAACAGTGCTAAAAATTACAACTGGTCAATTGCTTGATGCTCTTTCTTTGTTCAGTTTTTATTGTAACTAAGTTTGCAAGAATAACTAGATTCTCACAGAAACCTGTGCGATTCCATTACCTCAGGAGTGAATCAATAGAGGTCAGCAAAGCTCAATAGTTGGTTAGGTCTGCTAATGCTACTGACAAAAATGAAGTTAAACCATTTATTCTTTGTGCATTGAAATATTGAGGAATATATATATATATATATACTGCAGGGAAGGTAGCTACTGAAAGGAGGCTTGCTGTCCTATGTTTGCTGCAGAGGAAGATGCATGTCCAAAGAAGGGCAATAAAGTTGGTAAAAGGATGTCTGAGGGAGCTGAGGATGTTTAGCCTGGAGAAAGGGAGGCTAGTGTGGGACCTTATCTCTCTCTACAAATACCAGAAAGGAGGTTGTAGCCAGTGGGAGTCAGTCCCTTCTCCCAGGTAACAAGTGACAGGACAAGAGGAAATGGCCTCATATTGTGCCAGGGAGGTTTAGATTGGATATTAAGAAAAATTTCTTCACTGAAAGGGTGATCAGGCATTGGAACAGGCTGACCAGGGAAGTGGTGGAATCACCAGTCCTGGAAGTGTTCAAAAGTCATGTGGATGTAGCACTTGTGGACATGTTTTAGTGACGAACATGACAGTGGTGAGTTAACAGTTGGACTAAATGACCTTAGAGGTCTTTCCCATCACTAACAATTCTGTGATTCCATGAAATATGTAGGTAGTTATTGAACACCTTCACTGAACTCACTTTACTGCTGTGTCCTATTCTGCAATGTTTTACTCCTGCAGTTCATTTTTTACACGTTATATTTAGGATATTTATGCTCTATGTCACATTTAATTCAGGTAACACTTTAACTTTTAGCACATAAAGTGACTCACTAACTCTACTTTCACTGACTGTAACAAATTCACCCCAATAACTAGTTTTATTGTATGTAGTATTAGGATTGAAAGAACAAAACTGAATCTGTGAGTTAAAATACCACATATAAAATGTGTTGGGAGAAGGATGCATAGTCACTTACTCTTTTTTGATACTCTTTGATCTTGTTTTCCAATTCTTCCAGATGAACCAAAACCCGATCAATTGTTGCTTCTTTTGTCTCAATTCTGGGGAGAGAGAATAAAGAAAGAGATATTCTTACAAAACCATGAGAGAAAGGAATGCTATTTAAGCTAGATTAGATGTAAATACTATCAAAATGTTTATTGTCATATCATATTGCTTGACTCATTTGGGTAGATATCACTCTCTGCTTACTACACATAAAGAAATTATTCCCCATATACATCTGGACCTTCGTGTTAGTTTGGATTTCATGCTCTACAGAGATACCTGGTTATACTGTTCCCTTGTAGCCTCTAAAGAGGCTTGAACTGGTTTGCTCTTTGTGCATGTGGCTTAGCTGACCAATTACATGGGTCTCTTTTTGCATAAGATTATTTGTGCTCCAGAAATATTACTCATCACTAGCTATAGAGGAAGCCTGGGCAACTCACTCAGACATAGGTCAGATGAATCCCAAACTGGAGAATTAAAAGGGATTCAATTCTTCTGAAAACGTGGTTTGTCAAGCTTCGTAAGCTGTATTAGTACACCAAGAATTTGTTAGCCTTTAAGAAGCACTAAGGAAATAAGGACTCCAGCCTGAGTAGTATGCTCTGTTTATACATTTTTGTCAAAGAACTAGCTCCTGCCTTCACATTTTCATAGGCATTCTCTTTACCACAACTGTAAAATAAGCCTTTTTTTCTGGTGGTCTCTCTTCTAGAATGAGAAACACTAGGCTGCAAACGATGTCTACTTGCAAAATTCTCTGTAATCTTTCCCTCTGTTCCCAGCATTCATTCACCATGTGGCACAATAGAGGCAAGTATTACAATTATCACAATATCTTTTACTCTTTCAACAGTTATTGTTCCTTCAGTTTTTCATTTTGGTATTTGTTGTTTTTTTGTGGGTTTTTTGTTTGTTTGTTTGTTTGTTTTGTTTGTTTGTTTTGTTGTTGTTTTTTTTTTAATCTTTATTTTTCCCCTCCCTATTGTATTAAGTTGTTTTAAAAGATCCTCTTTTTTTTTTTTTTTCCCCTGGCTAACTTGCTAAGTTTGGGTCACTGAATCATGCAAACTGCAGGTTACTAAATTTCCATCCTCTGGTGTCAGTGTGCTCCGAAGTATTTTTCAGGTTTTCTACTAAGTACAAGGATATTAGTTAGAGAGAGGGTATGGGGGTATGGTGGTCTACAGCAAAAGTATGTCACAGACATGACAGTTTGACCACATAGTGTGATTGTCTAAATTACCTGCCATTTTAAGCCATTTCAAACCATTTCTGTATTTTGGATATTGCTGATCTTATTTTCTCCTGTTTTAAGATTTTCCATTAATATGTCCATCACCTTGCTAATGTCAAAATGTATATGAGTACAATTTGCCATTTTGTCTGCTACATATTGGAACTTTCTCCTTTAGATTATTTTTCTATGGTATTAGTCAGATTAAAGCCATAAAACAGCTGGATTGATGATTCCTTTGACACTTTTTCTCAACTCTGTATACTAGGTCTCATCTAGGTGATTTAATCATTTAGAAACAACACTCCCTCCCAGTACAACAGTTTTATCAGTCATCTATAGGATGTTACTAAGGCAAGTTATTAATAAGATTGTTGTTCCTAACAATTATGCTGAAACAGGGAACTGTAATGAAAATGGAAAATAACAAACTCCCTGTGAACAGTGATCATCCTTCAATGTATAGAAGAAAAAACAGGAATGGAAGTTAAATATACACTAAGCACTTGATAAATCCTAAAGTGGAATGTGACAGATATGCACTTGTATGATTATGCTACTTTGCTCAGTTAAGTAGTACAGAGAAGTTATAGATTACAGAGGTGAAAAGAAGGAAAGAGAGGAGAGAGAGAAAGACAAAAATAGCAAGAAGAATACTTTTCTTCCCTATTGTTGTTGTAGAAACTACATACTCCTTGTTAGTACAGCACCTATTTCAGTGGAAAACTCTTCAGACAAATGAGTCTTTTGCTTGGATATTTGAATATGCATAAGAATAATTTTATCATAAAGTGGTGCAGTTTTTTCTCAGCCTAGTAATACAGTTTGCTTATTCCTTAGTGAAATAGATGGGTTGGTTTGTTGACTTTTTGGGTGGTACGTTTGTGATATCAAAGCTAAATCTGGGATATTTCACTATGGAAAATTGTACTCTGTTCAGTGTAAACTGAAACCGGAAACACCACAGAAACTGTGAACTCCTGTAGATGTCACTACAACTACTCTTCAGTTCACTTACTCCACTTTTCATTTCCACATCAAGGCAGTACTCCTTGCTCCCTAAACACTGGTATTTGTTGAATGTTGGATGTTGCTGAGGCTTTTCTATTTCAATTTCTGTCTCTGATAAAAGTCATGGAGCTTACTTTTTCTCTTTTAATCATCTACTCAAGAGATTGGAGATCAAATAAATTGGACTATTTAGTAACTGCTTCAGATATTTCCCACTTGGCTCTTATTTTTCTCTGCTTGATTTTAAAAGACCTTTAATTTACCCCTCTCGTACTTTCAAAATAAAACACTGTGCTCTGCTCTCAGCTGCACCAAGGAAGAGAGCAAACCACAGGTTTTGAAGTTCTGGCTGGTGACAACAAATCTCCACGAACACCAAGGAATTCTAAAAAATACAGTCAAATGTGATCTTGCAGCTTCAGTGTACACTGATCAAAAGCTTCCTACTAACAGAAAAAATGTTGGGGTTTTTTTGTTTTTAATAAAATACTTTTTCCCAAGTTACAGCCTAGTGGCATAAAATTATTTCTGACACATCTAAATGCTTCTTTACAGCTATAGTTTAAAAAGTGTACCTTTCTCAAATAGCCTTAAAACCCCCCAAAAAATCAGCTCAGGCCCTAAATTGAATAAGATGTCTTTGTTATCTGCTTCCTTCATTCACATATTCTATATAAGCGAAAAGTTAAAATTTATTAAACCTACTGAAGTTCTAGTATGGCTTCTGGTATATCTGATTCGGGTTCTGTAACTTGCTTTCCTGGCTTCTCCTCTTTCTTGTTTTCTTCCATTTTTTCGGTTGTACTTGTGCTAGAAGTGAAGGGGAAAAAAGACATAGGTGAATGTATAGGATGTCATATATTCATTGGCCTTTGTCACTTGTGGCAAGTTTCTAACAGTTCTGAAATAAAAAAAAACTAGTAGGGTTTTTGACAACAATAATCCTGCCCAGGATAGCGCTCAGGCCCATGTTTTTGGGGCAACCTGAAGTATCATTCTGAGTAGATTCAGTGTTCTCTATCACTCATTGCATCCCTTGCTGTGGGCTGTGTTTTACATTCTTGCAAATCAAATCAGCAGTTGTTCTTTTTCCAGTCCTTTGTTTCTTTATCTTTGTTTTATCAAGTCTACTTGTTAATATGCATCTCTTTCCCTTTCCTTCTGTTCTCCTAGCACTATGAATATTTCCCTTTCACTGCAACTCCGATACCAGTTTTTATTGTCAGAGCTGGAACAAAACCACTTTCTGAAGGGACATGCATGTCAGCAGTATTCCCTGGGCATGTTGTCACAACTACCAACCTCAGAATTCAACTGTCAGTGAATAATTCTGTAATGGAACTAGTATCATATCTTATTTAAAATAAAATTAAAAAGTCACAAGAAAGGGGCACTTATGAAAATACCTCACTTTTAGCAGTCACATACTCAAATGAACCAGAATAGTTTATATAATATAGGAGGTTTTATTACTGAATGAGTAGAAACACTGTATAAACCCTGTCTTCATATTAAACTGCTTTTCTGAATTCTGACAATAATAGCTGAAACAGATAACAACATGTTCCATGACTAAACAAAGCAGGCTGGATACATTTTTGCTATTAAAATGAGCACAAGTAAACAGGAAAAAAAACTCAGTGGAAAGCCACATAAAGAAGCCTGTAAAATCAAGTTAAACTAATTATCGACAGAGGCACTGTAATCTATACACAGACCCATGCCTTCTCACCTTACTCACCATATCCTGCAGCAAGGCAAGGTCAGCTTTCTGAATACAAAATAACTTTCTATCCTATTTCACATACAACCTTTGCAGTTTCCTATTCAATACAATATTTTTTCACGAAACTTTTAAAAATCCTAAGCTTAGTGTATTTAAAAAAGAAATTTAAAAAAACCCAAACAAGTGAATTAAGAAAAAAAATTCACTAAGGCTGGAAATTAGGTGCTTTGCTCCTCCTAGACCCCTCTGGAATTTCCAGCCCAAATGCACAAGTGCAGGTTACACGTGTTAAGTGTAAAAGAGAATCTGTCATACTTCTTCAGTGCAGAATTAACTGGATTTGTATTGATTCCATTTTCACTTGACCACTTATTTTACTGATTTTCCTCAGAAATAGAAGATCACTAGAGCAATCCCTAAGGGTTTTTTTTATTTCTGTCCCTTTCTCTAAATGGATAATCAGGTCCCCCACTTAAAACTGGATACAAATGTGAAATTTTGAGCAGTAGTATTTTGAAAAGGTTTAGGGCCTTTTTTTTTCCAACTCCAGACACTGATGAGGTCCAGTGATATATTTATTAAATTCTTCCCAAGCAGGGGGCAACAAGAAAGCCTCCAAGCTATACAAGGTAACCCCTCCCCCATACTACAATAAAGGATTTTCTGGATTTTGCAAACCACAGAAAACACACACATATGAGAGAGAGGGGAACATGTTTAGGGGAACTGAGAATCAACTGCACATTTTAAACCAGTAGGAATACCTTTGCAGAAGGAAAGACCTATTACTTCTCCCAAACAAATAAGTAATGAGGCATAACTCTTGACAACCCCCCATTATCACTACCAGCACTTTCTCAATCAATAACTACACTGCCATTGCATCCTTAGAAGGAGCAGGCAGTTTCCTGACACTGCAACCCAACTACTATCACTTTCTAGACACTCTTTACAGAGACCACCTGTATGGCAGCTCACCACTCTCATGAGCTCAATCACTATCATTGGTCCCACCCACACCAGCACTTGTACTCACACTGTATCTCTGTATGTCAAGCAGCTGCACCACCAGTAGCCTCCACTCCCTCAGTCCCCATCAATCATAGAATCATAAAATATTCTGTGTTGGAAGGGACCCATAAGGATCATTGAGTTCAACTCCTGGCCCGGCATGGGACAACCCCAAGAGTCACACCATGTGCCTGAGAGTATTTTCCAAACACTTCTTGAACTTTGTCAGGCTTGGTGCTGTGACCATTTCCCTGGGGAGCCTGTTCCAGTGCCCAACCACCCTCTGGGTGAAGAACCTTTTCCTAATATCCAACCTAAACCTCCCCGACACAAATTCAGGCCATTCCCTTGGGTCCTGTCCCCGGTCACCAGAGAGAAGAGATCAGTGCCTGCTCCTCCTCTTCCCCTCACCAGGAAGTTGTACATGAGACCTGCAATGAGGTCTCCCCTCAGTCTCCTCTTCTCCAGGCTGAACAGACCAAGTGACCTCAGTCACTCCTCATACAGCTTCCCCTCAAGGCCCTTCACCATTCTTGCAGCCCTCCCTTGGACAGTCTCTAATGGTTTAATGTCTTTTTTACGTTGTGGTGCCCCAAACTGCACACAATATTCAAGGTGAGGCTGCCCCAGTGCAGAGCAGAGCAGGACAGTCCCCCCCCTCGGCTGGCTATGCTTTGTCTGATGCCCCCAGGACTCTGTTCGCTCTCTTGGCTCACAGGGCGTTGCTGACTCATATTCAACTTGCCATCGACCAGCACCCCCAGGTCCATTCCGTGAGGCTGCTCTCCAACCTCTTTTTCCCCAGTCGGTCGGTACATCCACGGTTGTCCCGTCCCAGGCGCAGAATCCGGCGAACTGATTACCTCAGTCACGCTGTGACACTCTGCAGTCACACTGTATCCGCTTCCCAATCTCCAAAGTACACTAACAACTCCGTTCCTAGCCGACCCTTCCCTTGTACGTATCCCCCACAACCCCCTTCACCACCAGATACAGCAGTGGACAAAGCTGGGCTACCCCTCACCGAGGCCCGCAGCCCCAGACCCCACCGGCACCGTCACCCTGTGCCGGAGCCTCCCCCCCCCCCGCCCCCCGCCGGCCCTGCCACGCTGTGCCCAAGCCCTCCCGCACCGCCCGCCGCCCCCGAGCACCCACCGCCAGAGTTCCCTGTCAGCCCGAAGCAACCCCTGTCGCCATCGCAACGGGGCCCTGCCCGGCCCCGCCGCGCGTTCCGGGGGCCGGCGGCGCCCTCTGCCCCAGGAAACGGGAAATACAAAATGCCAGCGACGGCACAGGGATGGTTGGAGTCCTGACAGGGGTTTCTGTGAGGCAGAGGTCGTGGGACGGCCCGCGTTTCGCTCAAGTGGGTACCTGCGGTGCCAGGCTGAAATCCTGAGGTAAAATTGCAGCTCTCTTCAGGAGGGCGTGTCCCAGCCCCGCAGTGATACAGTCCCACACCGAATGTGAGCTGGGTCACCCATGCTCGCAGAGGAACAAGCTCCCGAAGCTGTCCGAGGCACTGAGGAGGAGCCTTGGATGGTTCCTGCACCAGCCGTGCACTGCTCCCTGTAGCCCCTTTGCCCCATGCACCTGTGCAAAAAGCCATGCCCCAGAGGTGGGGACAGGGCACAAGAGGATGGAAAGGAAGGCTGGAGTCTGATCCTGGATTACTTCTGCTTCTCTCATCCTGACCAGCAGACCACCATCGACTTTGGATTGGCTCTGTGCGTTGCCCTCCTTCATAGGACACCAGTGCCTGAATCACATAACCCTGGGAGCCATACTCGACCACAGAAATAAATTGTGAATCACTAAAGAGCCTTTGTCCTCATTCTTGGGCAACATAGAATCATAGAAAGGATTGTGTTGGAAGGGAACTTAAAGATCATCTAGTTCCAAGTCCCCTAGGGCATCTAGTTCCAAGTTCCTAGATCATCTAGTTCCAAGTCCCGCTGGTTTTGATTGCTCAGGGCCCCATCCATCCTGGCCTTGGACACTTCCAGGGATGGGGCATCCACAGGTTCTTTGGGCTCTCCTCTTTTAGTTTAAAACCATCCACCCTTTTCCTATAACTATCTGCCCGCTTAAAAAGTCACTCTTCCTCTTTTTTACAAGTCCCTTTTGAGGACCGGAAGGCTGCAATTAAGTCTCTCCATAGCTCCATAGGTCTCTCATTTCTCCATGCTCAATATTCACATTTACTAACTTTGTTCAGAGTTTTTGGCTGTCCCTATGGGAACCTGTGTTCTCCTGTGACAAGTTCTGTTTGACATAGTACAGCAATCTCTGTAATTAAGGGATACTCATTAAAGTAAGGACAAAACACTTAAAGTCCTACAGACAGATATCATAATATGCAATGTATCTATGCTGAAGACAGTAGGACAATGCTGTTTAGTTTCATCCAGTGCCCCACATAACTGTTCAAATCAGAAAGCCAAGAAAAGAAAGAAACAAACAAACAAAACCCCAAATCGTAAAAAAATACTGCCCTTTAATTTCCTTCTCCTGTATTATGGACTGACTGATGCTATTGGGATACAGTAGCCAATTGACACATCAGCCAGACTTTGAATACAAGGCAGATAAAAAGAAAGAAGAGAGTCTTAAGTCAGCTGGCAAAGACAAAGTTGTGAACTTCATACCCTATACCACGAGATCTTTAAATCACACTATATTTAAATCACACTATGCCAAAAGGTAACAGTGCTTAAACCTGACTGTGGGCAACCTTTGCATTTTTCTATTTGCATGGGCAGACAATACTTACATCTTTTAGAAAGACTAAAAATACTTTGAGAATTTTGAGTCCTTATTTTGCAGGTTAGCAATGCTGCCAGGATCAGGTAGTGCTTTCAGCTATTTTTGACCCTCTGTTAATAAGCTTGAATATGGAATCGTAGAATCATAGAATATCCTGAGTTGGAAGGGACCCACAAGGATCATCAAGTCCAGGTCCTGGTCCTGCACAGGACAACCCCAAGAATTGCACCGTCTGCTCTATAGTCTTCCTGGAGCCTGCTTTGTAGTTCCCTTGATCCTTCTTACAACTGGAGGAAAAGTTCTCATGTTTCTTTAAACTTCTTTTTTTCTCTTTGTGTTTCTTTTTAACTTTGGAAATCTGATAAGAGAGGGTAAAGCCACATGAGACTGGAAATTTCCGTGCACAATGCCAGAGCCATTTTTTGTATATCACTATTACATGGAATTTGTTTTGGCTCCATATTCCGATCAAGGTCAAAATGGCAAATTCACATTTGTAAGGACACATGCAGATACAGAACAATTGTCAGAGACTAGAATAACATATTGAAAGGACCAGAAAGCACCCAGTATAAAGAGTTTAATGACAAAGAACTATATAATTAAACATGAGACATCATTTCTCATCAAGTGCAAAGCAGACACTATCTTGATCTGTCCTTGAGGAAAACTGCAGTTATTCCTAGAATCCTTCTCACCTCCTAGAAATCATTAAAGAGCAAATTAGGGTTTCATGTGTCTTCCTCAGCTGGGCATTTGAGAGCAATCTCTAGCAGTGCAGCATAGGAGAGTAAATTTAAAGATACCCTGGTCAGTGGCATCAGGACTCAAATTAGTTTTGGCTGGGAGCAAAAGAGAAGGAAAATGATCAAGCCCTAGTCATGCACATTTGAACTTTAGAGCCATTTCTTTCATGGTCGTTATTATCAAACCAATCTCTTTCTTACCACAGAGAGATTTATATACACCTAAATTACCCGCACCGTTCCCTTCCACAGTTTATACCTTCAGTATACATTTTCTTCTAATGTTTTAAAATAAATTTTAAATTATTTTAAAAATATTTTTGAAGACTAAATTTTTAAATATGTAAAGAAATGCCTTCAGCAGGTGCAGGGCATGGGAAGATAAGCAAACTTAGCAGCTCTCTTTACATGTTACTGGCTCATTTTATGCCCTTACCTCTCTGTTTTAGTTTGTTTGTTTCCCTCCAAACTTTCATCCCTCTTTTTTGCACACCTTTGGCTCGTCCCCTGAATATCCCATGGTAGGTCTTGTGCAACCTTAAAATCCTCTTCCCTTGCATTCCACATCGTGCCCTACCCCAGCAATGACCCCCCCAGTCTGTAAGGTACTGGGATTCCCTGGGAAGGGGTGTGCCTCTGATGGAATTACAGGGGCTCTCCCTCCTGCCTCTGCACTCCTTCATGTGTTCGGAGATAGACCTTGATGTGCTGAGAGCTCCTGTGGTGGATTTGGGAGCAGCCAGGCAGGGTATTTGTCAGGCTCCTTCACCTACCATTGTTTCTCTGTCTTCCTTTGTGCATGTGGAGAACTTTTTACCCCATTACCTAACAGTGCAGAAGATTTTAAAGGAAAAAAAAAAGGAAAAAAAGGCCTTGGGGTCCAGGAGCCAAATGAAGGATGAAAAGCAAGAGGTGATGTGGTCAAAGCCACCAGCTAGGGAAATATCACTACAGCAATTAAATCAGCAACATCTGAGTTAGCTGTGATTAGTGTTAGTTCATCAGAGAGTGGCTGAGTGTCAGAGGAGATTGAGATTTTGTCTGCAGGAAGCGGGAGGAAGTGAAGCAGTATCAAGTGGATTTGCTTCACTGAAAATTACTGTCTCTTCATCTATTTATTACCTGCCGTTTTTTAACCACACTGAAACATTTGTTAATTTTTCTGTTATTGGGAGAAGATGGGATTACTTCCTTTTTACTTTGGATAATGGCTAGACAGATAAACATGCTGAACGAGGGGGTGAAGGAAGGAAGGCGGTCCACTTTCTGAATCTGATAGCAATACCTCTACACAAAGATACCTGCAGGGCTTTTTGGTGGTTTTTTTTGGTTTTTGTTTTGTTGTTTGTTTGTTTTTTTTTCCTGAAGATGTCATAACACTTTGTGTTGCATGCAATCAAAAACATGCTTGTATTTTTTGATTGTGGTGAGAACTTAACAGCTCTGTGACTGTGTATGGGGAAGAGGAGGGTGGGTAGGGTACATCCTTCCATCACTAGTTTTTGTTCTCTTGCTGCCACATTGAGAGTGTTCAGGCTCAATTCACATGAAAAACAGTCCTTCTGTGGTTACATGAAATGCACAGATTCTACAAATCTACTACACCTCTGTAGAGCAACTGCGGGGACCAGTTGTATATTGGTTGCAGATCCTTTCCATCTGAAGTTACTGAGGATTGAATCTGAGGGTCCTTCAAGTATTCAGTATTCTGAGGGTCATTCAGGTATTTTCATCATCTTCGTTACTGCAAACACTCAAGGTATCAGCTGGGACAGCCCTTAAATACAGAATCCCATCGATTTAATCTGAATCCATTTCAAGAACAAATCACCAGAGTAAATGCGAGTAGGAGAGAGCACATATGTATTTTAACACAGTACACACCCTGTACACAGTTTCTCAGCAGTCACCTGTTACAATGCTGGAGACAGCTGCCACCTGGAGCTTCCTTGCAGCAAGGAAGCTTTTCCCTAAGCTTGGGTCCTAAGTCCTTGTTTAAAGGGGCAATTGTTTGGGGCAGTTGGGTACACCAGACTCATCAGTTCCAGCTCCATCCAGCAGGGGCCAAGCGTATCCACAGCTGCCAGCTGATACAGTGTGTCTGGTCCTAAAACGCTGTTTTACCCTGACCTTCCTTCTTGTTCTTTGGGACTGCTGTGAGAGGGGAAAAAGAGATATTTTACACAAGAGAAAAATATGCTCCATGTACTAAGAATGTTAAAAGGGCCCCCAGTTCTAATTAGGTGATATTTATTGATCTGCACTGAACAGAATTTCATTGTAGGTTTGAATAGATACGGCTTAGTATGCTGCACTGGGATGAATAAACAGGATATGTGGATAAGAGGTGCTTGAACTAAAATTATCAAGGGGAACAAGCAACTTTTAAGCTTTCACAAGATCTCCAATTCACTCTGATCCTCGGGAGCTGAATGTAAACCTCATTAAAGGCTTATTAAGTCACAATTTTACTGGATAGTGCACAAAAAGCATGCTCTGGTCCCTTATTTTGTCATATAGGAAAAGGAAGAGCCATGTATAAAATGCACGAAATTGAAAAGACATGTAATTTACCAAACCTTTACACCAATTTCCTCTAAAAATTGTTTCACCACATCCAAGTTTGTGTAGGAAGTGAAACATAAGAATTTATGATTAGCAGGAAGCCATGGCTGATGATCTAGGGTTTGGAAATGAATGGCCTCAGAATGGGAACACAGTGGGGAAGTAATTTGAAGCAGAGCTGCTGCAAGTGAGAACCAAGCCAGGTGACCGGCCAGCAGACGTGGGCAGGTGACACACTGGCTGCCCTCAGGGCACAGCGGCCCTGCTCTCGGGCAAGCCAGAGACAGAAATCCTCCAGTTGCCCCAAACCAGAACTAAATCAATTAAATCAAGGGCCGCGAGAAGAACATAAGTAAGGGGAAAATACCACCACATCAGCTCTCCATGTGCCAGGGATCGGTGCTGTCTCCCTGCTCACAGAGGGAGGGAGTCTGGCTTCAGAAACCTCCGTGGTGCCTAACTGCTGAGCAACAGGTGCTGAGACGGGAAGGTCCCGGCATCCCATGAAATGACGGCATATGTATTTTGTGCCACTAATTAAACAGAAAAGCGCTTACAGCGGCTTCCTGGGTAAACAGATGACTGAAACCTCTGTTTTCTCTGCCTGTATCTTTACTGCAAACAGGGGCGTATGTTCACACCTCTAGGGCTGCCCGTCACCAGGTAAAGTGAAATACCGATCACTGTCCCCCCAGGCAGCTCGTCAAGTCGAGGCAATACTCCCCGCATGGCCTTTGTGCGGAATAGCCACTGTTCGCTGCGGAGCTCCTGCCTCCACGAGAGGTGCCCGCTGACACCGGCCCTGAAGACTTCCCAGCCCCGCAGGCAGCGTCCCCGCCCCGGTGGCTGCCGCAGGTGACACGGGCGGGAGCGCGGCCCCGGCAGGGGCGGGCCCGGTGCGGGGGGAGCCGCCCCGCTCGCAGGGACGCGGCGCCGGCATTGGCCCGGCACCGGCCCGGGGCGGCGGGACGGGCTTTACCTCTCCCTGTGCCTCCTCCCTTCCCTCAGACAAGCCGGGAGGAGGCGCGGGGCTGCGGCTGCTGGCGGGGACCGGGGCACTGGCGCTGTCTCCGGCCGCAGGGAAGCGCTGGGGGAGCCGCGGAGGGGGCGGCAGGAGAGGTGAGGCTGTCCTAAAACGGGGCTCTGGAGGTAGGTGGGGAGTGTCTTGTAAATGGAGTGACTCGGAGTCGAAAAAAGGGCACAGAAACCACCCGCCCCCGCAGCGCCGGGATAGCGTGAGTGCGAGTCCGTTGTCCCATGAGGAGTCCTGTCTCCAAGCCTTGGGCAGCCGGGCTGGTCCGGAGTGGTTTTGTGCCGTGGTCAACTTGCAGGGCCCGTTCACCAGCGGTCTGGGGAGCTCTCACAGGTGTCTCACCTGCCCGGCCCCGGTTGCTGAAGAGCCGCTTGCCAGAGGTTTTCCTCAGATTCGCGCTCGAGAGCTCCTCGCCTGGGGACGCCGCGCTCCAGGACATCCCGCTGCTGCCGAGGGGAGCTCCAGGCCCCTGTCAGGGGCTGAGAGCCGAGTAACTGTCAGAACTTACCTGCGCCGAGCTCCTGTAGCCTGCTATAATGAAAGGACTCTCTGTATTTAAAGAGAGCGCTTAGATCTCAGCTGAGAGATGTTAATGATCTTTGTGTAAATAGTAAACACTTATATTTCAAAACACTGAATTATTTGCATCTTCAATGCTGTCTCTGGAATGACTTGCAGAGTTGCTGGCCCTAAAGTTTAATGCACTCAGTTGTATCTTTCCTGTGTGAGCAGAAGGATCTGTTTATGAGATTGCCATTGCAGGATGAAGGTTGCCTAAATCTGGGGACAGACTGTCAAGTGACTAGTATTTCTGAGCTTCCTCAAAAAGTGTAAGGGGAAGGGAATTAGAACAAGTTGTGGTGGTGCATTCCACCATTCATTTACGGCACATACTTGACAGGATGCTCTGAAAAGAAACTTGATTTTATTTGCTAAAAGAAGTGATCAAAGTGTTGCAACAAAACATTTGTGCATTTATTAGAGAATTTATCAGAGAATTGAAGCTCTCTGTGATGGAGTGTTTAAAAGACTGATGAAACAAACCACTTTATTTAACTTGTATACAGCAACAATGCAGCTTTCCAGTTATTAGTTCTTAATTACCCTCAGTCATTATCACTACATTTCCCAAACAGTTCTTAGCAATCACATATGTAGTAGTAAATCTAGGAGTACACAATGCCCTGGAGCTGATGTCCTATATTTAGCAGTGATGACTACAGTTCTTGATGGTTTGTTTCAGTTGTCGGAGTCCAAGTAAAGCACTTGAGAGCTCCTTGGCAAGAGAAGCTGGAATCAAAGTAAGCATTTTGTGATTTTAATAAATTACCATCCTTCTTTCCTAGTTGTGAATGTGTTATGCACCTCTGCTACTGCCCTGGAAGAAAAGGGGGTGGTCTCATCAGCCTTTCACATAGATCATATTGTTTGAGGGAGTAAGCTTACCCTAGTGTTACTAGGCACCTTTCTTATTTGTTTTGCAGGGTTATTCTGGTTTTATCAGATGTATCTCTTCTTCATTCTGCAGTTTTATTTTAGTTTCATCTGAAACTTTCCTGCCCATTCTACATCCTTTGTTCTTATCTTGCAGATTGTACTATTTGCACATGCTTTACTGTGCACTATTTGGACAAGTATACTGCAAGTCTCTGTTAATTTGGTTGTGTGTTCTTTATATATTTTATGTATACTAAGTTATAAAATAGTGCTACTACTGTTGCAGTGTTAAAAATGCTTATACACTGTTACCAATTACCATATTTTAGTGTGCTTATGTGTAGGTGTAAGGCAAGGAAATAATAAGCATCTTGTTTACTTTGCTTCTAGCTTGTGTGTGCAGGTCTCTACTTTGGCTGTAAGATGTGTTCTTGAATTTCCTGAAGCTGTCATTGGACCTGTCTCTTGTTAAAGAAACTTTCCTCCAGCATCTCTTGCAGCCCAAAATAATGTATTATCAGTCTTACTGTCAGACTTTTAAAATTCAATGAAATAGGTCTTCATGTTCTTGTTTCCAATGCTTACAAAGGCCAACGTAAACAACACTCCCTTGTCCCCAAAAATGAATGACAGAAAAGTGAATTCATCTTTTCTGTAAAGTACTGGATAGAGACCATGGGCAGGTATTCTCTGGAGTGAACTCCTGTTGTTCTGCAGGAGGTACTGACCAGACTCCCAAGTGGAAATACCGCTCCAATTTAGTACTTGGAGAAAACCTTTGATGCTTGCACAGAAGGTGAGATTTTAAGTTGCATCTAGAAAGAAGGCTTAACCAGGAAAGCAGTAGGATGAAGTTAAAGAAACTACTTCTTTTCTACCCTGTATTGTTTCCTGTGCTCATGACAGAAAGGAATTTTTCAAACAAAAAATCTAATAAGAAAACATTATTTGCAAGGAGGCACAAAAACAATTCATAGTCTCTCTGTAGGGAAAAGAATGTTTAATTTTATTTTTCTTTAAAAATGATGGTTCTGTCCCATGGAAATCACTCTTCATTCAGTAGTGACTTGTTTTGAACCATAAGTGAAGACTTTTTTTTCTCTGCACAGAAAGTGCTTTTCACCCAGGATAGCTGACTAATGAATGACTACTGAAAACAGTAGGCAAACTTCTGGTGCTTGAAGTCAGTGCTTCTAGTGCTGTTGCATTTCAAGTCAGCTTATCTGGGTTGCTCATAAGTCAACTTAAGGAGGCTCCTTAGTTTGTTCTTCCAATGCCAAAACATGCTTTATGATTTGTTAAGCCAGTAATGTTGCAGTTGCTGTATTAGCATTCTCCAGTCCTTTGGCTTATTTGGGCATAAAGTAAGTGACAGCTGATTTCAGCAGACTTATTCATGCTTCATTCTTGTGGTAGGGAGTCTTTCCAATTCATCTGGGTACAGCAACTGGCTGTGCTAGATTCTTACTTCATGTTATAAGGTTTCCTTTCTGTGTGTAATTTGACTCTGCTTATTAAATTGAGAGCAGCAAAGGGAAGAGATATAACATATATGTGAGGAAGAGGAAAAGAATATTTCTTCCCTTTCTTTATTTTACAGTTCTTTATCTGGATGATATTGCCAAACTATTTTTGGTCTGAATCCCACTCAGTATCCTGTGCTATATGCAAAATTAATTATCAGTGTAGCAATTTGTTGCCCAGAGAGACTGTAGACTCCTCATCCCTGGAGGTGTTCTAGACCAGGCTGTATGTGGCTCTGAGTAACCTGGTCTGGTGGAACATGCCCCTGCCCATGGCAGGAGGGTTGTAAATAAATGATCTTTAAGGTCTCTTCCAACCCAAACATTTTTGTGATTCTATGATCCTAATTTTTTCCCCTCCATCTTGCTATGCTCTTTTTCTCTGTAGTATAAATCTTCTTCTAAAAGTAAATTTTTCTTTCTCACAGTCAAGGAAATTTTGTATTTCCTCTCTCTCTAAATATGTCTGAGTATAAATAAAAATAAAGGTACGAAGAAAGGAAATGCTTATTTGTGGAGTAACTATCAGAACAAAGTCCTTGATTCACTGCCAGGTGATTTTGTTCTACAAAAGTATCAAACAGTATTGGTAAAAATCTCTATGAAATTGCCTGCCCAGTGTCTGATTCTGGGCGACTGATAAACTGACAGAGGTTTACTTCTGTACAGGCTGGATGGACTACAGTTAGCCTGTGTAATCTCAGCCATGTAGCTAGTGGTCCAGTAGCAGGTCAACATAATCAAGAGCTCCTGGGTTAGAAATGGTTGTCCGCCATCTGCTTGTGGTTAAAATCTACCACCAATCTCTTCCTCTCTAATGAATTTAAATGGCTTGTGTGATTAAGAAATAACATTAAAAATAGAACAAGGGTGAGGCCCAAAAACTCCGTGTAATTGCACTTAAGGCACTGTAAGCAAAAGGTATGTGTCTAAGTCCTAGGCAGAAATCTATCAAACAGCCAGAAGCAGTGAGCCCTTGACCTTCTATTCTGGCCCGACCACACAAAACATTTTTTTAGTCCTGGGATAACTTATGTTAGTGGAAATGTCATTGATTTTACCTTGCTTCATAGCGATTACATTACTTCTCTGGAGGTTAAGAGATTTGGATTAAAAATTAATACCCTCACATTACTCTCCTGTTCCCTCTGCTCTACTAGAACTGGACTGCAACGTAGTCAGGAATACAGGTCTGTCTGGATGAGGAGGGAAGTCAGAAAAGAGCCTGATTTTAGTTGTACTGGCCTGAGAGAGAGCATACCTGGCTTCCTATTTCTGCTTGCAAGGTTGTGACATCACTTTAATAGTCATTCTGTGAGGTCTAATCCTTCGTAGTTCAGCCTTAGGAAGTGTCAAGAGATAACCCAAGAGAATTCAAGTGCACATCCCTTTGTTCACCAAAACATATGACAGTCTCTGAAGGGTTTGCTTGGTTCAGTGGTCTTGGGGGCTCTGGATTTGGCTGCTTCCTGGGTATGTGCTGTAGCTATTGGGCAAGCGAGCTAACACCTTGCATAGCTATGCTCCTAAAGAATGAGCCACTCCTGCAAAACTAAATACCTGTTCAGGGACAGGCCTTATACTCCAAGCCCCAACCTCATACAGACCCTGAACTCCTGATTTTGCTTCCTGTGCATGAGAAACAATTTCAGACACAACCTTTTGCTCCCTCTCTCCTATTCCTGTGCTATTCAGCAGCATTCATAAAGCAAATCCCATTCACGCAGCGCGATTTGTCACCACGCCTCATTCAGTGCAACTGAAGGCTGCTGCAGAAAGTGTTCCCTGCTTTAGACTTCTCATGAGTAGAAACTTGGTTTAACTCTTGCCATGCCCTTTTAGGCTTTTCGCATCACAGTGCACCTTGCTTTTCAGTTCCAAAGTGCTCTGTTCATATCTGGCCATAAGTATTCAGTGAAACTGGTACCAGTCAGAGAAAAGAGAGTTTTGCACGATACAGCCCAGCCCAGCAGTGCAAACAATCTTGTGAGTGAAGTTTTCATGCTGATAGACTTCCTGTTTTTCTTGCAATTTAATATTGGTACTAAGGAGGACTAACATTGCTGCTGGCTGGTTTCAACTTAGCCAGAATGATCCTGATAGCAGATGGAATTTTCTTATTACAGGGCTATCAGTTAAAATGTCATTATTCATGGGAAGATGAGTGATTTTTTTTCTCAATAGGGAGCTATAGTGAGCTTTTTTAACATATCTATTAAAAAAACCCAACAAACAACACACCAAAACAAACCAACCAACCAAACTTGAAATAAAAACTTTATTGCAAAGGTTAAGTTAATTTTGGACTGAGATGAGATCTGATTCTGACAAGCCTATGTGGAGGCTACAGGCTAACTTTTTAACCATTTTAATTTTTAACTTATCTGGAAACTTTGCCATAGTGCTTTTCCCCCCACCTCACTCTTTGGCTTACTTATTGTTTCTATGACTTCAGGACTCCTGAAGAATATTCTCTTTCCTCTAGCAACTGATTTCTGCCGGTAATTGGATTCTGTGTAAGGCCCCGTTTTCAGGTGGGTTTATGCTTCAGTTACTCTGACAAGGACCGGATTAATTGATGCAAGCTTTCTTAGTAGCTTCCGGATTATATAATTTATTAGGTGGGTAATTTTAGCCTTCAAAACTTGCATGAGTGTCTAAGGTGAGTGGTTAGTCATTTTGTGAGAAAGGACAGCCAAAGGGCTTGTTTTGTTCGCTGGCTCTTTGTGCGCATTAGTAATCAGTTAAACAGAGCTGTAGTTACAATAACAAGGCTGGCAGCTGAAAAGTAGGGGGGCTGCAGTGACAAATTAGAGTGATTTAGGTAAGGGATTATTTTGTTTCCCACAGCTACTTATTTATGCAGTTAATTGTGTCTGAGACTGATGGAGTGCCTTTTGCAATGTTCTGTGTGATCCCAGATTCATGTTAGGCTACAAGCAAAGGTGCTCTGGTGAAGCTGAGATCAGTAGCCTCTGCCAGGGGAGTCAAAGGTGACATGAAATGTTGCCCTCTTGATTTGGCTGTTCTATGCTTAGCCTGTACCACAAAGCTGTATCTTGCACCCTCCTGCAGAGGAAATGTGCTACCAGCAGTGACCTGAGCAGATGGCTGTGACAGTGCTTTAGAGCAGATCAGAGAGATGCATAGAAGGGGCAACTTGTTAACCCACGAGTTCCTAGTTTTACAAACATAGTGGAGGAAAATCAGTCTGTCAGTGATGGTGGCTGTCCTTGCTCAACTAACTCATCACCTTGACTTCAAGGAGTGAGAGTGGGACTCACAGGGCTGCAACAGATGCTGACTAACAGAATCGCATAATAGTAAGATAGAAGGCATCA